ACAGTCATAAAAGACAGTAAAAAACGTTTCTACAAATACATTAGCAACCAAAGGAGAGCTAAGGAGAATCTGCATCCTTTATTGGATGCGGGGGAAAACACAGTGACAAGGGATGAGGAAAAGGCTGAGGTACTTAATGCCTTCTTTGCCTCAGTCTTTAAGAGTCAGAGCAGTTGTTCTGGGGGCACCCAGCCCCCTGAGCTGGAAGGCAGGGACGGGGAGCAGGATGAAGCCCCCATAATCCAAGGGGAAATGGTCAGCGACCTGCTGCACCACCTAGACACACCCAAGTCTATGGGGCCAGATGGGATCCGCCCAAGGACAGGCCTACTCTTCGCTGGGTAAAACACTGGCTGGATGGCTGGGCCCAAAGAGTGGTGGTGAATGGAGTTAAATCCATTTGGCGGCCGGTCACCAGCGGTGTTCCCCAGGGCTCGGTATTGGGGCCAGTTCTGTTTAGTATCTTTATCAAGGATCTGGATGAGGGAATCGAGTGCGCCCTCAGTTTGCAGATGACACCAAGCCGGGCGGGAGCGTTGATCTGCTGGAGGGCAGGGAGGCTCTGCAGAGGGCCCTGGCCAGGCTGGGGCAATGGGCCCAGGCCAACAGCATGAGAAGGGAAGGAAAAAATGACTTACAGAAGTTTCTTTTTAAGAGGAAGGGGTGTTGTGACAAGGTACATCAATTGGTTAAAAAACCCAATGGAACAAACCCAAACCCATTTGCTCCTCTTTATAGACTGCAGCAAGTGCATAAAGATGTCTTTTCCTTCACCCTTCAACTGTTAGCATAGCTAAAACTTTTTCACTTCAAAATGCCTTCCTACACACACACACACACACACACACACACACACGTCAGGGGACGGCAAGGCAGACAGCCTCCATATGCGAACTCTTGCAGGAGACCTTCTGAGAGAATGAATATGTGGGTGTATTCGTCCTCACTGAAGACAGTAAAAATGTCTCTGGTTCTTGGTGCATATTATCCTCTGTCCCTACCCTCTCCCCTCTGAAACAAGATATTTTTTCAAAGTCATGAATCAGTAGAGAATGAAAAAAGACCTTTTCTAGAAAGGCACGTGTTTGCTGTGTTACCTACAATTCTGCAAAGCCCCTAACGTTAAGTCAGACATTTTGCTGAACAGGGGATGTAAACAGAAGCAAATCACAAAATTCAAAGCACTGGATTTGCAAGGGGAGGAGACGGAAGAACCGAAGGGTGCTCTTGCTTTCCTCCTCTTTACGCAGCACTGCAGCTGATCCCAGCTGACCCATGTGGGCCAGTTCTGGACACCACTTGTGGCCTGGTCCCCGGTAGGCTACGGCACCGCAATCTGCTCCAAGCAGAGCAAGGACCATCCTTCTTTCCACTCAAGAATTGCACCGGCTTCATCCAGCCCCTGACAAAACTGACCCTGGCTTCAATGCTGGCTCTGGTCCCGAGGGAGAACCGGCACAATCTGGCCCGTAACCCTTGTTGGTTCGCAGTGCAAGCGGAGCGTTCAGTCATCGGCTGTGCCTGTGAGAATGTACCTGTCACCTTCAGTCACAAAGCCACAGTCCCGCACTACGGATGACAGGCATAACCTCAGACTGCAGCTAGGAAACTGCACCCCTCTGCCTCGTGAGGCTTGTGGCAAGTCCCACCCGTCTGAGGAAAACGCCCAGCCTGCGGGGCAGGACAGGCAGCAGGCGCTGTTGCTTGCACCCGATTAGTTAGAGAGCAGATCACGAGGCCCTTTCCAGGAGGAAGTTACAGCCTGCTGAAACGCTTCAGAAGTGAAAGATGGTCACGTTGTTAGACAGTAACTTCTTGCAGACAGGAGTTGTTATTCAAGCTAACAGCCCACACCAAGCGGAAAAAGGCAGAAAAGGAGAATTCGGATAAAGTGTTGATTATGTCCATGGGTTAATTTCGTGGTTTGTTTTTGCTTTTTTTAAATGGAAGGTGATTGTCCAAGTTGCCGGTTAGGATACAACACATGGAAGCATGCAAGGTGGAGCCCATTATTGCACCAGTAGCTATAACCTACAAAGAAATATGGGAGGGAAGGGAAAAAGACACCATGAGAGTTAGTTTTCAGTTATTTAAAGCAAGCCCTTGAGAACTACAGATTATAAAGCTTACACCAGAATAAAGCATGGGGTTAGTGCAACGTTTCTCAAAGGATTTGTCAGAGGGGATGCGAACGCGTCTGTAGAGGGTTTTGAATCCGAGTAGGTCTCTGGCTGGCGTGGCTGCAGGGAGCCTCCCAAGTGCGATGTGAATATAACACAGTTTGCAGGGGATGAACAACACCCGAGCTGCCTGCGCTTTCATTTCAACGCGCGCTAATTCAGCTGTGGATGCTGACAATGAATACTGACACTTAAAGTACTTCTCCCCTATTAAATGCTTTGAGCAGAGAAAAAGTAGTAATGTATGCAAATTGACAGGACCCACTTGTGGGGGCGGAGGGGGGTGCTGGTCCGTCTACCCAGGGAAAATAATTAGGGTAGCTATGGCATAAGACATCGTTCTGCAGTTCCACATGCTGTTCAAGAATAACTCCCTATGGAAACGCTAATCCAAAATAATCACTTGGCCAACTGCTCTGGAGTAGAGCATTCTCATGAACTGGCTGCCCAAATGGGAAGCATTACTTCAAATTCATTTCCAGTGTGATGTTAGAGGACAGTGCGAGAGTGTGATTGTCTGCAGGGGAGTGAGTAGGCAGCCTGGGAAGGTAGGTGAGATGTCAAATCAGTCATCAGAGTTAATGATCCAACACGAGTAGGTCTTATTGTATGGAGAAATGAGGGCATGAAAGTGTTGACGCACAGAACCACAGTGTTGGAGTACAGTGTGTTTCTGTAGACGGGAAAACACGTTACCAAAGGACACTGCTGTATCATGCAAATCTCCTGGCAGAAGAACTGCTGTCTTCGTAACATAACACGACTTAAACACAACGATCTTTCTTTGAGGCAAGGGAGGATTGGTTTAAAAAAATGGGAGGAAACGTCCCAAGTGACGCTGGATGACTTGAAGGAACGGATAATGGAAAAGCGCGTACTCAAGGTAGCTGGGTGTAGATCTGGCCAACGCAAGCTGTGCCTGGAAACAGGGTTTGGTATGCTTTAGGCCAGAAGAGAAAAAAAGATTGTTTCTCTTAAATTGTGTCTGAAGGACAGATAAGAAGCAGCAGTTACATGCAGGTCCATTTTTTAGCTCAGATTTTGTTGGTTTCTCTTTAAATTTGTATTTAAAAAAAAATCTAGGCAATCGAAGTCACAGGGACTGAAGCGTCGCTGTGCCAGCTCTGCCGGAGTAGCGAGTGCTCGGGGCGCAGGAGGACACCCTGCCTCCCGGCTACGTTCCACAGCACGCGGAGGCAGAAACTGATGATGCAAAGAACAGCTGCCAAATGTAAGGCGCTCTCAACGCCTTGTTGTACCTTTTCAAAATGCGTGCTCTGGTATGTATATGTACCTGTCTAGCGTACGGAAAAAATACCGGGCAGTTCTCCTTATCCCTGAGTGCGTAGTAAGCGTTCAATCTTTGCTGATAATAGTGTCCTTTTGTATAAAGATGAGGCCACAGTCTTGGAGCAGTATACCGAATTTTAAAGTTGTTAGACATTGTAATGTAGCAGGGATGCAGTACAAATGTTAGGGAAATTGCACAAGAGACCAATGGTGAAATTTTCAACCAAAACCCCAAACAAGCCGCACCCACCAAAGCACAAAATGCCGTGACAGTCACCAGATAAGCAAACAGAAGCATTTAGGTAGTTATGATAAGGTATTGCATGAAGGGTTATGGGAAAGAAAGGGGTAGATTAAATATCAAAAAAAGGAGAAAAAGGAGAAAATAAATATTAGGGGTTCAGTAGTTGAAAATAAACGGTGCGCAAAGTACGTGGTAAATGGGCTGCGCGGGGTAACAGCGGTCAGCAGCGGAGATTAGACAACTGACATAAAACTGGTCGGGGGTGGGGGTTTCAGTCTCTTGCCTCCAGAAATTGTATCTGCTTTCCTTCCACTTGCTTCTGGTAGAAGTGGAACTGGGAACCATCCTTCTCTGAGAGGGACAGGTCACTCAGGAGAAGGGAGGCTGAAAGTTTTAGGCCTTGTGGCTTTATGCTCATCCATTTTATATTCTGGTCTGGTCTGTCACAACAGATGTCGTGGGATGTACAATCAGTGTTTTGAGGGACCTCTTCCAGTTCTGACAGTTTATGGATGCTTGATTGTATGAGACCTTTCTTCCCCAATTGCAACACAGAAAGTGACTTTCCAAGTATCACAATCTGACAAGGATTTATGCTGACTTCTCATGATTTGTCTTTCCTTGGTCCCGATTTTGACATAATTCCAACTTAGAGATTCAGTCCAAACATTGCAACTCGTTCCTAGCTGTCAGTTTACTGCATATTCAGGATTTTTAAATCACTCGACACATGATTACCACCTACTTTGTCTTTTTCCCCAGAAGTCAATTATTCTGAGTCAGGACTTATGCTGCGTTTCTTTATCTGCCTGTGCAAATTGGGCGCTCTTCCATAAAGAGGAGGAGGGAGTTGGATTTTTTTCCTCCATGCTCCTTGAGGAAGGCTATGAGCTTAGCACTCTTCCAAAATTGGACAGTTCAGTTTTAAAGGGGCACGGTCTTTGGTCCTTCCCCTCCTCAGTCAGAACCAGCCACTATAGGGGAAATTCTGACCACTTTGGGGTCAGCGTGGGCCCTTTCCATACTGGTAGATACTCTCTGAAGCCAAACATAAAGCTGGATAAGTAATCTACCGAAGGAAGGAGGTGAATACGTTAAAGTAGGAAATTAACTGTCTGAAGCACGCAAGCTTAATTGCATAATTTCCTAGTAACTAGAAAAGCAGAACAGCACGGTGTTACTCTCCCAAAAAGGGTTTGACAGCCCTCAGGAAGGCAAAATAAAGCACAGAAATAATCAGTTAGCAAATTCTGAGCGGCATAAATGTTCTTAACAGCAGCAAATACTCACTCAGCAGACTTCCAGAAATGCCCTGGGTGGGAGAGCCGACGATTCAATTTTGGCAGTTTTTCAAGCATATCCATGAGGACAGTGAAGCTAGGTCTCTCACTGAGATCAAATGACCAGCACGCTGAGAGAATTTCCTGCAAAGGATATTTGTGGCTCGTTATCTCCACGTAGTTCACAGGTCAGTGGTGCAGACCAAGCAACCGATGGAGCACTGTGATTTGTGCGAGCCCAGCCAGAGACACCGTTTAACAGAGGTCTTGGACATTCTTAAAATCAAACAGTATCCTGTGTACCGGTGGATGTCCACTCCTATATGACAGTTATGGGCAGAGGCTTAGTAGCTAACCCGGGGTCCCAGCCTAATCTGTTCTCTCTCCTGCTGTTTATCTTTAGAGTTATAATAAGAGTAAAATAAATCTCCTCTTTAAGCAGCTCCCTCTTTTCCTCATAAATAGCTATGGAAGGATTCCTGCAACTGAGGTACTTACGTTGACTTCTTTCCCCAAACTAACAGTTGCAAGGACTTGCTTCACTCCTTCACCACTTCCAATCTGCCAGATGAGCGCCTCTGCAGGCTGGTTCTTGAAAGGCCATTCTCTTGCTTGGAGCTCATACCACACAGTCCTGCAACATCAACAGACAAATCAAGCCTTTGCCTGCTTTTAGGGGAAAGATACAAAACCCTGACACTGTTCCATTTTCTTCAGATAAGCTCTGGAAGGTGTATAAGGCTGTGCAGCAAATCCCTCCTGCCCAGGACTTTTGTAGTAGGTGAGAAAAACGTGAGTCTGTGAGAAGAGGACCACTGACTCAGAAGGCTGAGGCCTGTAACAAATCTCATTAATGAGCTCCCATGGTACTCTTAGGTGTTCCTCTCTTACCCAAAGGCATAGATATCTGCAGCTTTGGAGAAAGGCAGCTTGTCTTCATCTTTTCCAGGGGCCATCTCGCGAACAATCTCAGGGGCCAGGTAGCATAACCAGTCATGTGGCAGCTTCAATTCGTTCTCCCTCCTGAGTTCAACAGAAAGAAGTGGTGCTGAAACATTACTGCTTCAGTCAAGAAGCAGCGTATGGACCAGACCTGTGCTTCACCTAATGCCTTGATATTATTTACTAAAATGTTTTCGCTGACATTTCCTTTCTAATTTTCTTGCCATATTAAATAATACGTATGTGTCAGCCTGACTCTCCCGCTCATTCTTGGGCTTAAAGTTTTCTTTGTTCTGTGTTCTGAGTCTTACTCCATACATAACTTCCTAGCTCTGTCCTACGGGAATTGTAGAAAGAACTCTGCTAGGAAAAAAAAAAAAAAAAAAAAAGAAAACGAAGAAAAAGTGTGTATTCCAAAAAACACGTGTAGGTACTAAAGCAAGTCAACACTCCTCACTTGTACTGTGTAATGCATCAAAATGTTTCCCCATTTGATTATTATTTATCACTCTAGAACTGGACGAAGCACTTACCTTCCTTCCTGAACCACACCCGAAATTCCAAATAATCCGAAGTCAGTGATCACAACCTTCCCATTGTCATAGAAAACATTCTTGGATTTCAGATCCTTATGTACGATCCCCTTTGCATGAAGATACCCCATGCCCTGGGAAATACATGCAGAGATGTACACTTTTTTTTATTATTGACAAGCCTCTAGCTCTGGGCATGCTTTGCTTTCTAAGACACATTTACTCTCATTACTCCAGCATAAATGATTAATTGTAAGTGGGGAGCCAGCAGCTGTCTGACTTATGCAGGAAGGGTGCAAGGGAAGTCTGCAAGGGAGCAGATCTTAGTTTAGTGCGCAACCTCTGAATCGTTTTTCATCCTTTGCATAGCAGGGCTGCTGGAAGGGCACTCTTAGTTGAAGCATGAAGTGGCTGTGCACTTCACAATTCTGAAGAAGTCTGTATGTCTAAGAACAATGAACAACTGGCACAAGTTTGCTCACTCAATTCACAGGATACTTCTGCCAGAAAAAACACCCAGCAACTTTAGAAATGCTTCTTTAGTTGAGAAATACTGAAAACAAGCACAGAAAGCACTGTGCAAATCTGGGAGAAAATGCCACCTACTTCAGAAGGCATTAACTTAGCTGCAGTTACTAATAAAGAGAAGAGACGGGGAAGGAAACCTCTCCTGTATACCTTTCTTCATTGTTCCCTTTATCTAAATTCTCCCTCCCCAGCCCTTTACTGACAAGCAAAAGCTCTGTTTCCCTCCTTACAGGCCCTTAGCTTGCTGCCCACTAAATGAGCACTTTTTTTCAGCCAACTTTGAGTATCTCCTGCTGCAACACCCTGTCGCGCTACTGAGACTTACAGAGGCACTGCCCAGAAAGTCGATGTCTCCGTTAGCATAACGTACCCTTACCTTAATGATCTCCTGGGCTATCTGCCTGGTTTTGTTAATATCCAGGGATATCTTGGGGTCCCTTACAAACGAGTGAAGTGTTCTTCCTTTGCAGAAGCTACAGGAAAGAGGAACAACAATCCTGAAAAAGGTCTTTAAATATTGGAGAGAAATAAGAACGTAACGCTGGATGTTCAGTTGGTTTTCTTATCATGTTGACAGAATCCCAGCCCTCTTCCGCTGCTGAGAAAAGCCATTTTGAAGACTTTAAGGACCCAATTGTACAGGAGACCTATTGTTAAAGCACGCTCAAGGATATGCAACAAATGCTAAGGTATTTCTTCAGAGGCCCAGTTGTTGTTATACTGCTCTTATATCTGAAGTCCCGTTTTCAAAATCCGAGCACCAGCTTCTGCTGCTGGTGCTACTGGTCACTTAAGCAGGAAACTGCTTTTGGAACTGGCAATTAGAAATGGCTGAGTACCTCCTTGCCAGACTCTGAGAATGGCAGGCCCCTGGCCTTACTTAAATTCAGCCTGCGTATGAGCATCCCAAAAAGCTGTTCTTTAGGGGCTAACTGATCCTCATCTCAACTAAATACTGAAAACAGAAGAGAGGAGAAAATTAGTAACATTTTTGCCTAATCAGCAAGTGTCCCTAAGAGGAACAGAAAGGAACAGATAACTGTTGCATTCTCAGCCTCACACATTGGTTTATTGTCACTTTGCTGAATTGGAACCATCTGGAAGGAGATGACAGGGGCAGATTACGTTCCAGATTTTTTTCTCTCCTGCTTTTTGAATTTTATTATTTAAGAATTCAAAAATAGAAAGAAAATTGCCAAAAAATATTGTAAGTTCCCTAAAAGGAGACAACCCTAGTATGTAAAACTTTGAGCAACACAGACTGCATTCATGTCTGCCACCTCCTGACTGCTGTGAGGTTTATTATTACATATAAAAAATAAATATCACATATCTATATAATATATATATTAAAAATAATACTAAGATGCTATATCCTTACCTGGTAATGATTGCTAAATGAGGAGGGTTCATGCATGCTCCCATGAAAAGCACCACGTTCTCATGCCGGGTCTGTCTGTAGTTCATCACCTCCTTTTTAAAGAGCTTGAGATGATCCTGATTGTTCCCGTCTATCTCCAACAGCCTGATGGCCACCTCCCCATGCCATTTTCCCTTGTAAACCTTCCCCCATCGTCCTTGGCCAATAGGATCCCCCAGTTCAATCTGTTCAAAAGGAATGTCCCATTCTTGCAGGTAGACGCTGGTCTGGCTAGGTTTGCGATAAATCATCCCTTGCAAGTGTGGCCGTCTGTGTGGCAAATCTTCCACCTCATCTTCATCATCTTCAGGTTCTGATTTATTAGTCTCTGGTTCTTCCACCTGTTTTCAAAAAGAGAAGGGAAACATATGCTGAGAGTCCCATCTGAGGGGCAGAAGCAGCCTAGCAGCCAGCAGCAAAGGCTGCTTTCAGAGATCTTCAAGGGGCTGGATGTACGCATTTGACTACAGCTCTAGAAATATACCTCGCAGGACAGTCATCTCAGAAGGCTACATAAAGACATACACCTTCTGTATGTCAGTGCATGCAGGTGAAGACGAGAAAGGCTTTATCCCATATGGAGTTAAATTTGTAGAACCAGCACTAACATCTAGGGACCCAGCATCTCTCAGGATTTGGCCGTCAGTGTGGGGAAAATACTACAAGGCCACTCTAAAAGGAAGGGTCAAGAACCTCTTTGTTCTTCAAATAAATGTGGGGGGGTTTAGTGGTTTTTTCCCCCCCGACTACTAAAATTCTCTTTTAGGGAGAAATGCTTCAAAAATCAGCAAGCTTGATCCAAATTCCAGTAATTTCTGCTGAAATCATCAATTCTATCTCTACAGGTTTACTCATCCCTACAGAAACCCATTTCAGTGTTCATACTACAAGCTGAACATGGGCTTAGGCACTGCCAAAATCAGTCTTGCAAATAGGTGTGGAAAGGCTTTCCTGTGCAAAACATTAGCTCATGGTAGATCCTGCAAAGCAAAGCCTGTAAGCATGGGCTTATGTGACCACAGGTAGCACCTACACGTGTGTTACTTGCAGATTAGAGGTCTGCAAAGCATTTAGACCTCATAACTCCAGCAGCTCTTGTAATGTAAAAACGGCTGTGCCAAACTGAGCGAGCCACAAGTTTGAAAAATACCATCTTAGCTTGATTGGAAAAAGTTAAGTGTTGTTACAAGTACTTAAATGTTTCAGCCTAGCTACAGAAACCATGAATTTTCAGCTGAGATCTTTGCAGTACAAACAGTTCAGTGGAACTGAGGTAAGGCACAGCTAGTCTACACTTGTAATTCCAGTGCCACAACTTTTTTATTGCACTTTCAACATGGCATTTCTGATTGTACAAAAGGGCAAACCAGAAAACCTACCTCTGCTTCACATTCAGCTCCATCTGCGTCTGGCTGTTCATGAGCACTAACGAGGGAAGACAGGTTTACAGTGAAAATAACGTTTGCATATCCACCCGAGTTAGAAAAGTGGGCTGCTACATACACCATTAGTGGAGTGGAAAGAAGCAAATAGAGAACAGATCTTGATAGCATTATAGTAGGTCAGAGAAAAATACAATTACCGCTCCACTTATCAGATAAGGACTTTCTAAGCTTACTTTAGCAAATGAGGGACAAAGACTTTGAAGTGATTTTCAATGATTAAGTGGCAGGAATTGATTTGGCAGTGGCATGGCAGCATTATTACGACGTGTTCCAGTAATGGATACTCCTATTCCTACTACTGAAACACCTATAGTGGAGAAGCAATTGTGAGTGCTGCCAGTGCAGGCTAAAATCTTTTGCATGCCCTACAACTCAGATCCTTAAAAAGATGTTTGCTTGCAGCTAAGTGTGTCATGTTCTTTTAATCATAAAACTCCGTAACTTATATTTCATCAGACCTTTCTGATCTCGGGAACGCACACGTAACCATAACTAGATATTAAAGGTGTGGACTTCTTACTGTCCGATTTAAAGTAAATATCGTATTCAGGTTTATAAAACTGGGAACACCAGTATCACCCTTGCTGACTAAAATTATCCTGTGAGTTCTCAGATGATAAGTTCAGTTTTGGTCATAACATAGCGCTTTCAGACTGATCTGAAGATCATCAGGGGAACACTATGCAAATAAAAGAATTTAAAACTATACTTACTTAGTGTCTGCAGCTGTTTCTGGAGGCTGTGCTATTTGTGCAGGACTGGGAATTTCTGGGAAAGTAGAAACATTTATGATACATCTTTTACACTTTATTCTCTTATAGATTGGAAGTTTTAACATTGCAATAGCAATGATTTGCTTCTTATTCAGGACTTATAAAGTCAACTCAGCCACAAACAAAATTATTTTATACTTCTATTCTTTTATACCTATGCTCATCTTTCCTAGTACTTACATGCCTGTATATTGACCAAGCCCAGTCTTCTTCCCATTCATCTACTTATCTGTAATGTCTTTCAAGGCTAGCCCTTGTCTGTGAACTGCTCACACGCGTTCAAGTTGCCTTGGACAATCAGAAATATGTAAATCCTCACAGAACTAGGACATTTGAATTCATCTATACTGCAGGTCATGTATTCCAACTGCACCTAATCTGTCCAGTGTCACCACTGCACAGGAAATTCAGCTTGGGTTGCAAATCCTTCCAAAATTCAGAATAAATACTCTGTACCTGGCATCCTACATCATCAGTTCTCACTTTGGAAACAAACAAGCTGTTTCGAAGGGTTCACGAACAGCTGACTGAGAAAAGTTTGTATATGCAAATCCACATATGAATATCATTCTTAAATCCCATAGGCAAAAGCCACAGTTCAGAAAGGTGAGCTCAGCATTCCTGAATTGACAGTATCCATTCATACTAGCTAATTATACAACCGCAAAAGCGAGCCTTTTTAAAGAAAGAACATGGCTGTGTATAGAATCCCACAGCAGAAAGCTACTGTTTTACAACTGACTATTCCAAGTTTCACCTTAGTACGTAAATCACATCACTACCTCATGTTAGGAGAAAGAGGCCTGAATCATATACTGAGATAAGAGAAAGTTTGAATTGTTTTAGATCCTTTTTTTTTTTTTTTTTAAGCAGAATTATTGTTCTTGGGCAGCATGCAGAAGTTTACAAACAAGTTACTTTTTGGCAGCAGAAGCTGGTTAGTAGAATTAAAACAATCAACTCACCTGGGAAGATAAACTGTTGTCTATGCTGAATGTAGTAGGCAGCTTTTTTTTTTATTTTTTTTTTTTTAAAAAGGACAGCAAAAAAAAAATTACCAGGAGAAAAAGAAAAACACAAACAAGTTAGAGGATCATCAGTAAGTGCCCCATACGCATTCAATGAATTAGTCCCAACTCACGGTTGGGAAACAGATTAGTAGATTATCAGCCTGCTTGAGGGGGTGAAGTTCAGCACATGCAGTTTTGGAAGACTATGACAGATGGTACTTATCAAATGAAAGCTATGTTACCAATAAGCAAACAGTCTGGGGGGAAAACAGCACATTCAGACTTCAAGTGGCCGAAGCAAATTTAGAGAACCCAGGACTGCTAAAAGGCAGGCCCAGGTAAAAGCTGGTGCTTCAATGCTCTCTCACATCTTCAGCTTTTCAGAGATGCACCCAGAGAAGCTGAAGCTCCTGAGCCATCTGCAAGCATTTTTTTTTTCTTTCAGTGAATTTGAGCAGTATGTCCTAATACAAAGTAGTTGCAGTACAATCCTTGAACTAAACTGGCTCTGCTTCTGCTCCTTTGAGTAGGCTAAAATAACTTTCACTCACAGATCAAAAGCTTGATGCAAAATATAGCAATGTGGAAAGCTAGATGTAGCAGCTAGTGAGCAGCATGTGACTTCATTTCCAGATCAAAGGAATTAAATTTATTCTCACTACATAAATCTTTGCCCTTGTCAGAGATCCCTGCCTCTATCAACTTTGGTAAAGACTGCACATTTGGGTCCTTAATCTGTAAAGTACGTAGGGTAAATTCTTCTCCACCATACGTGTATGTCAGTGGTTTAAAAATGAGTGTTGATTGTTAGTTATCTTTTGGAAGGGACTGGTACAATAGTTCATCCCAGTGCTCATTTTCACATTTTGCTCTAGCAATCAACTCACTTACGATTTAAAGCCACTGGTGACCAAACACAGCAGGCAGCATGCATTTTACAATACAATGAGAAAAGGGAGGAGAAAGAATACTTTTTTTTCAGTCCTTTTCAAAAAAGGAGAAAATAGATCAAATTATTTAAGAAAGGTGCCAGCACTCCTTAATAATCTGTCTCCTGCAAAGGTATCTTGTTGATACCACTTAAAAACTGTTAAGAACAGACCGTTTTCTTTCATCAGGTAACAAGATACACCTTCACACCTCACTTAAGACACAATTGTGTATTCAGAAACCTACAACTACCTATGAAGTCTTGGTCAGCCTCTGCTTGCACAGAGGCCTTTCTGATCTTGGCAGAGGTCTCCTGAAAAAAATAAGTTTACCTGGGAAGTTAAATCGCCCATCCCTCTGGCCCATAGGAGATGGGTTTGGGGGAGGTGTTGCACTGGGAGGGTTGGAAGACTGGAAAGGTGCTGGAGAAGATGGTGTGGATGAGGTTGTAGAAGAAGGATTACTGCTAGAGTCCAGATGATTTATTGCTGGTGGATGCTCCTGCAAAGCAAGGGAAGTCACTCGTGCGGAAACAATAAAAAGAAAGAATTCCCCTCAGTGTTTACTGAACACAGAAAAAGGAAAGCTGTCCCTAGCCTCAGTCATCGCATAGGTTTTCTAAGTGAATAAACAGCTGGAGCTGTGCACAACCTATGTTTTACAAGGAGAAAACGTCACATATCAAAGTCTCCTTGCGAAGCAAAAGCTCAAGGTGCCGTTCTTGCTCCAACCAGCAAGGTACTGCTGCCACCTCTCCTTACTGTAGCTCCTCAGTGACTTACAGACACAAGACTCACTTCAGTCACCGTGTACCTTTTTAGTTAGTGCTTTGGGAAGAGTTCCAAACTGTGGTTCTGTTGGTCTGTCTACTGGATTATTGATATCAGAAGGGACAGACTCTGTTCTTCTTATTTTTGTTACTGAAAAACAGGTTGGAGAAGGGAGAAAAAAAGTTTAATCAGACTTTTTATTCTTGTGATACCATCAATTACATTGAAATGCTAAGACCTTGTAGAAAATTACTTACTGGGAAGGAAGGGTATTCTACAAGCAGGTGCCTCTTTAGTACATTTGTTGTGACATTTTAATCTGAAAGAGAAACATTACATGTTAAATAGCAACTTGTTCTTTCCCAAAAAGAGGAAGCCTAATTTGTAATTCTTATGCTAATCTCAGAGGGAGTTCTGGAATGCTCCGGGCCCCAAAGCAGCATGCATTCATATGAAGAATCCTATTATGTGTGTCATTAGCCTAATGAAAGCCATATACATATCTTAGCATCTGATTTATTTTTAAAATAGTTACTTTCACCGACTCTCATCCTGCAACAGTGAAGCACTAAAATCTCAGCGCTCTGGACTAACAACCCAGACAGACAAGCAAAAACTAAAATCCTCGCTGTTATTTAGGTATCCAGCTCCCACTACAAGATTTGCCCATGATCAGGTAGGAAGCCTGTGGCAGGGAAATAAATTTGGTTCATCTATGTTTCAGGCTGCCAGCCTAAGTATAAGTTGTGCCAAAGCATCACTTTGCCAGTTCAGAAGTTGACTAAAAAAGTGATCCCACTGTTAAGAGTGCATCATGTCAAGAGATACTTGTCACTGGCAAACTTTAATGAATCGAATGCAAAGTTCTTCTGAAAAATATCATTACTGTGTGCTCACCTGCAGTACTTACACTTCACCCCAAACATCATGCTCTTCTGACAGACTTGACAAATCTGAGATAACCAAGACTTTGTAGAGAACCTAAGTGGAGACAAGGGGGGGAAAATTATGTTAACCGGTGTCTGAAGGAAAATGAACATTTGTAGGCAGTGACAGACAGGCTGTAACCCTTTAGCCCTTTCTGAAAAGGGGCAAGTGGCGGTGTGGAAAAGACCTCTCACTTTTCTGATCAAAAGCAACTGAAAGAAAGCTGGCACCAACTCTGCTGGCCTCTTGCTAGATCTAGTTCTCCACTCTTGGAACAGGGCTGAGAGGTACTCAGAAGTGTCTCTGACAAGGAGACAGGGTGAGCAGGTACACACATCTCTAGAAGGTCCTCAAAGCTGCAGCTCAGCAATTACAGATCCGAAGCCTCATGCAGTCAAAGACATCCAAGTGATAGAATATCACTTCTTTTCATAACAAAAAAAAAACCCTCAGACTGGAATTGAGCTTCACCTCATGAACCAAACAAGTACTCCGAGAGGGAGCAGCCAGCACACACTCCAAGTGCAGATCCAGCCCATGAGCACGTGCTGCCTCTCAGTCGCTGGTGTCCCTCCTCATGGCACATGCTGCTGGGTACAGTCACCTGAACATCTCTGTAGAACTGGGACCCAGTTTGTGGTGGGTGGGTGGGTGGTGGTGGGATTGTTATCGCTTTTACCAGAACATGAAACAGATAGGGGTTTTTTGGCATTAGAACTGGCTGGCCCAGTTTTGGTTTGGGTTTGGGAAGGGGGGATGCAGGAAGCTACAAGGGAGGAGAAGGGAAATATATGCTCTTTCCACGTAAGGAGGAAGGAGCAGCTTCCCTTTCGTTTGTAGCAGTGGAAGTGCTTTAGAAAAGGCATTGTTACACATTTGGCATGCTTGGTCCTATCAACCCATACACAACATTGCTACTGCTGGTACGCTACTCATTATGGAATCACAAGTCAATTAGCTTTGTAAAAAGGATTTCAAGTGCATATATTAAAAAGAAATTAAGCTGAAATACATAGTTAAGGCTGCACTTGGCAAATGAGGCACCCGACCCAACTTCAAACCTATCTTAGAGTCGTGACTGCTACAAAGGTACTAAATAGGGTGCTGTCCTGGTCTGACCCCTCAGTTTGTTTCCTTTGTGGCTCCCACGGCATGTGTTGCTTACCTGTGTGTTACAGCCAAGCCAAAGTCTCTTCGTACCATTTGAGGGGATCCTTGGGAGTGTTCTGATGGAGAAGAAAAGGATGTTTTAGGGAAGCATTACTCAGAAGCATGCTTACCAGTCTAGACAGAAACAAAGTGATCACTGTCATAGATAAGGACTAGTAGCCATGACACTGTTAGTTAGCACAGCTGAGATTGGTTTGCCTTCTGCTGTAACCCCACTACCAGATACTACTCTTTTATTTGTTTTCATATGGAGGCAATGTAAGATTTGGTGGTGGAATTGTAATTCTTCCTTCTTTTTGTTAAATCGTTATGTTTCACGTTTAGGGATTACAGAAGTCTCTCTGATTAGGTCTAGGCCATTCTCAAAACAAAGTGGAAAGTCAGACTTTGTCTCCAATTGGTTTACCATGAATACCATCACCCAGTTTTCATGCAGTGTCAGTAGACTTCAGAATATTCTTTTACACTGAAAATTCTTATCTCTGTTTTATAGACAGGGCCAGCGTGACCCAGAAGAATAAAAAGACTTATGTGAGATCACTTCGCTAGCTGATAAGTGCAGAAAGGGAGATCTAGACTTCACAATGCCAGTCCAGCACTCCAGTGGTTATACCACATAACTTCCTGAAAACTCTTAAATACTAGGATTCTGGCATAATTCCTGAATTAAATCTATAGTCATATTGCAAGTCTGGAGAAAACTCAAATCTGCAAGTACCGACACAGCTTCAAGGCTGGACACTGTCAATGCTTATGAAAAGCCAGTCTCTTTATTTGACCCTAGATGGCACCAGATTCTTTGTTATCATTATCCCAGTGAACTTTTAAAGGCATTTCTGGTCTTCAGCATCTTAGAATAGGCTGGAAAGACTAGATGCTTTTCCACGGAATATTGCCGACGTAATGTGGCCATCCAAATGCACAGTCATCTGAATTAATCATAATACAACAGTTAACATGGCTGTTAACATCAGTTAAGATGGCTAAATCCTTACTGAAGAGTCCTAATGAATATAAAAAAGTTTGGAATTGAATGGGACTTAAAAGAGCCTACAGTATAGATTTTAAAACAGACAATATGACTCTATGCATAGAAGCACCAAAATTCTTATTTTCTGTTTGAATTTATTCTAATGCCTTTTTTATTTATTGCAGACGTTCTATCACTCTCCACAGAGAAATGCTCCGATTTCTGCTTGCATTTTCATTTTACAATTTTCTTTCCATGCTTTTTCATTTCTGAAAGTAATTCCTGGGATTTTTGTTTTAATGGGCATTAGATCTATGTGGTGCTATAATGTCCTTATTTGGACTTCTATACTTTACAAAAAGGCGAGACACCTTCCAAGATGCTCATATCCCTCTCCATTAGCTTCCAAGGTTACAGGTTGTGTGAGACAGACACACATAGTCACATCGGGATAGCTAGAACACTAAATGGCATTGATAAGTTACTGGATGAAAACACAAGTCCTAGTCCTGTGAGCCATGAAACACATGAATAGACTCATCAACATCAGAGGAAGCATTCCACATTTAAGCACATGCTGAAGCGTTTCTCAGAAGCTTGGACGCAACTGTCTAATTTCATTACAGAGATACTTGGCAATGAATATCCGAAGATACTAAATGGTTAGATACGAAGTTATTTCTCGTACCGAGAGGCATCAGTAACAGCTGTGGGAAGTCACAGACAAGCAATTACACCCAACCCCCTTTCTTTAACCCTTTGAACATCAATATTCATATTGCGTTTGTCGTCTGAAGAAATACCAGGTACAAAAAAGCCCATGTAAACATCCTGCAGTTCTCCAGTAGGCCAAGTAGGCCAAGCTCCTGTTAACAGAAACTCTGGGATAGAAAGCCCTATTGAGGGCCTCCAGAGGTTGCACAGGGATGATCAACAGATAGTTGACAAGGACAGGTTCTTCTCTCTCAGCAATGAAACGAAGACAGCCCTGTAAAAATCTCTTACCGAACCTAGAGAGAGAAAAAAAAAAAAATATTTTTTTTTAGACATTCATATTCATGTGACAGGATACACACTTTGCTAGAGCAGAAACTCTTTCCTGCAGCATTTGAGGTCATGTTTACAAACATCTCTGGTTTTGCACAGGCCCCTGAAGTTGCTGCATAGCCAATATTTTCCTGCCTACGAATGGCAGTCTTTGCTGGGTAAAGCTCCAGCCCCAGTCCGTGAGTGAAGTGTACAAGAGTGCACCTGAATTTTGGCTTGCAGATGAGAAGTGTTAATGGGGCTGTGCAACTCAGTCAGCTGGCAGGCTCCATGGAAGTGCCCCATCACAGAAGTGCTACATTTTGCAATTCCTATCAGACTTAATCAACAGGACCTAGATCACCGCAGAACCAGGTTCTTACCAATGAATTTCAAAACAAAGCTGTGCATTGGCCATAGATGCTTACTTGCTGCATTTAGACATTTAGTAATTTGCAGGTTTTAGTATACACTTCATATGCACTCACAATGTGGAAGAATACTATGCTGCTTACACGGCTATGCATTTATAATGAACTCTTTCATGTCAATCTGCAGGCAATACAGTACTGCAGCCTCAAAAGGACAGCCCTTTGCTGTTAATGCTCACACCCAAAATCTCAACTCTGTTCTGAGCTGGGCTAGTTTCCCTTATATAAAAATGTAATTTTGGCAAAAAGGTCCTGAGCAGAACAGGCTCTTTGAACTCTTCCAGGTAGTCAAAGAGTTAGGCTAGGTTGTAATGATCCAGTGCCTGCTGTAGAATTTGGATGCTGACCTAAGTCTCTGCGATGTTTAGGGACAGCCAGAGTCTTTCGAAGGCACATTTCTTTCCCAGTTTCAACGATTAGTTAAATGTTAGATTAGCACCTTCCATCCTACCTACACAAAAAAAGCATATCTCAAAGCCTGGTTCAGTCTAAAAAAAGGTGTAGCCTAAGACCAGTTGTCTTGTTATGGAGCTAATGTTGTCTATACTGTAATAAATGTTTTATAGCTCACACTAGCAGCTAAATGACATCTTAAGATAAAAACATAAAAGGATACCAGCCACCTGAACTGTAAGGAACATTTAACGACAGAAGAGAATTCTAGTATGTGGAACTGGCTACTAGATGCTTGAGAAGAACTGGTTGGGGCCCTTTAATAGCAGCAGCCATCCCGACCTCCCCAGCAGGTGCAATTTCAAGTAAATTCAAATAAATTTCAAGTAAAGTACACTATTAACAAGCAGGTGTTGTGGTTATCTTAGAATATCCCACTGATCCAGATTCTCAGATTACAGTGAAACCGTGATGAGGCAACTGGACACCAGCTCTTTGACAGTCAGAACTGGAGCACTGAATGCCCTTTGGTATGAACAGAGCCCACCAGTGCCCGTGGGGAAGGACTAAGTGTCAGGCTTACTTGACTGGAGAAACTTCATCTATCCTGTTTCCCAACTGTGATTCATGGGACTTGCTCCTTGTGAGGGTTGGAAAGTTAGGTAGCAGCTGAAAAACCTTCCGGCAAGGGGGAGGAGGAGTCCGTGGTGGCTTCAACTTATGCCGTCTCTTGGCTTGAGGAGTGGTTGGTGGAGTGATGGTGATGCTGTGAGGAGTCCTTGGCGTTAACCTTCCACTGTGTGCGGGGAATGCAAAAGGGTCCAGGAGGTTTTCTGCATAGATAGAAGGTCCGTGACTCGAGGCAAGAGAATCTGAAGATGGGATTGTAGATACTGACACAGAACGTGCCTGCTGGCTGTTGCCCTTGGGAAGATGCAGTGCAGAGGGAGTCCATGTGGGCGCAGAGGAGCAGGGGGATTCGGTCGAGTTTGTAGAGCTGTTCTCTCGGCGTGCCTCAGAAAGATTCATCAGCACATCATCTTTTAACTCCCCACCTGTTCACCAACCGTAGCAATGTTCGTGATTGATTAAAAAGAAAAGCCAATGGATATACACATGCCACATCACACTGCTTTAGGCTATAAGGTGTTTCCCCCCCCCCGCTTTGCGCCTAGCCAAAGTGCAAGCCTAGTGTCTCCTCCCCTGACACCCGTCTAAGGCATCAGCTAAAGTAACCTTTAAAACAAGAATGGCAGTAACTACCCTTCTTTCCTATCTGTAGCTATGTATCTCAAAAGGTAAAATCAGGTCCTGTGTTCTAAGATCGGCTGAGTTTTAACAGATTGGGGCCCTATTGAAGAGGGTGGGATATACAAAGCTACATAAAACAGGCACCCACATCCCACTGCAAGCCTATGTGGATTTGGTGCCAATCCGTTTAGACAAATCCGTACATCCAACCTGGCACCCTGTCTGCTTTTAGACTGGTCTTTGGTAAAAAGAGGAAACTATTTTCTATTAGCCAACAGAACTGCTAAATACCACTTACATTGAGATTAGATTGGAAATAAGGGGTATCTAGGAGCTCCTGATACTCATTTGGCCACTCTTCTCTCTCTCTGTCATGTGACCAGTGCCTAGAACTCACCTGACACCTGGAGTACTGGGGCACTGCTGTTCAATTACAGGCAGCAGCACTCAGCAGAGTTGCTGTTTGTTCAGACTGTATTAGCTAGAGCTGCACCAGGGACAGACAGCTGGACAAAAAGGAACCACCACATCCTGCTGGACTGCTGGTGAAGCCCAGCGCTGCCTTCTACAATGCACAGCACTGTAGTTCAGAATGATCCAGTACAGCTTGTAGACCAATTCTGGGCATAAACGGGGAAAAAAATGTGCAAAGGCCTGCAGGCAGCAAAGCAGGAAGGCACAGGTTATTGGGATAATTTCAGAGGCTTAATTCATCAGGATGACTCTCTGTCTTAATTTTAAGTATGTCCTTAATGACTTAAATCAAGTTGAAAAGTCAAAGCTTCAGGCCCTGATGTCCTATTGACCAGTCAGTGGTTGAAAAGAGATGATATACCTGGATTTTAAAAAATGTTATTTCTTTATAATAAGTGAATGCCATGACTTCTGAACAATGGCTGGTTTTGCCACAGTATGGATGGGAAATATTTGACAGCCCAGGACAAGAAAGATTAGAAAAAAGGAAATAGGAAACTGAGCTGTTTGCTGACTTTTCCATTAACTAATCTTTATGATTTGCCAAAGGTATGAACTGCCATAATACCAACAGGAAACATCACCTTTCAGCGACAGATTGATAATTGCTACAAAGAAAGACCCGATGCACATTAGTACCAGTATGCTGTGAGAAACACTCTTGTACAACAGATTTTTCAATGCCTTTGAAAGTAGCCTGGGGAAGGTGACAGGGGAAGATCGTGAAACAGTGCCCTGGGAGTCTTGAGTTTGATCTTAAACAGCTTGGTCAGATCCATTTGCACACTGAACACATGCATTTCTAGTTACACAGTAGCTTTCTTTCCATAATTTCAAGGCAAATCAGGTTTTTTTCTACCTCTTCAATCTGCTATTGGAATTTGGCTAATGACTCTATCAATTTTAGCAGTCAAAGAAAGATAGCAGGAGGCAAGCGGTTTTAGAGAAGTGAATCAACTGGCACACTACAAGCTAGGGGTGATAAAGGCTTGTCAGAGCAATGTTCTTCTCTTCCAAAGCACTGAGCTGAACAATACTCAGGCTTCTGAGCAAAGTAATGCCAGACAGAATCACACCTTCTCTCTGAGCTAGCAATATTTGGGGAGGGGATTACCTAGAAGAAATCTGGTTGTATTCGTTAGGTCAAAGATATGTGTACTGAATGATCGAAGATTAATTGGAGCATTAGACACAACTCTGAACAGAGAGACAATAAGGATATAGTCTATTGAGTAGAAGAGAATATTTCTACATACATTTATTTCCATTTATTTATTTATTTGACATGCTGTCCAAACCAAATCCAATCCACAGCTCTAGATACGTTTGATCATTGCAGCTTCATGTACATCCAAGAGCCGTACCCTGATACTGCTTACAGAACATACCCAAGGACATTCTCTAGAGGTTTTTGCAGACTGTCTCATATGAAAGGAAGCAGGATGGAGCCCGGATCGCTGAGAAACTAATTCCACAGAACAAGGCAGTCTGTACCTGATTCAGTCACCTTCCGTAAGCAGCTCAGTGCCCCATTGAGTCTGGAGCACTCCTCATCTCTGGCACCACATCTCTTCATTGTTTCTTTCACCTTTGACTCATTCATTTCTAGTAAGGCATCTAAGGTTAGCTCCTCTGGTATTCTCTGCAGAAAAACAAGATGATACATATTTTTCTAAAGATACATACATAAATAAGACTCTCAGCTGTTATTCTGATGTATTTTAAATAGTTCCACTGTCTCACTGCCTGGTCTGACTCAGGATTCACTCATCTTGGTAGTGCATCTCTCAAGGATCACTGGGTCCGTAACGACCGTGCGGCAGATCTCAGCAGTGCTCAACAGCTGCTCCCTCTCCTCCCTGCATCACGAGAGGCCAGGCGTGTGCTCGAGCGTGCTCTGTATCGTTAGGATGCTATGGTCGCCCTCTGGTATTTAAGTTAGGATTAGAGGTGATTGAAATATTCTTGTCCCCTTGTCGCAAGTTTTCACTCAGTATTTTTGAAAAACTACTAATGAAAGCTTAACTTTTTCATTAAAAATAGCTGTCAGAAACAAAACAGGCCTAAAACCTGAAAAAGTGTCAGATAAAGATGTTTGGCTTCTCAGTAGGGAAGTGAAAAGTAAAAACAGTGAGGAAAATTACTTCTTTTGTTAAACAAAAATAAGTGTTTTGACAAAGAGATAGCGACCTCCTCCTCAAGCAATTTTTCCTTCATTAGAGAATGAGCCTTACCCGTATCTTGCTCAGAAAGATATTTATGCAGAACTCCTTGTACGTCTTAATACACCAAAGCCCCCAAAGTGATACGGTTTAGATCAGGTAGACACAAAAGATACAAGAGACTGGAAAGCATGCAATGATCTGGTATTTCCTGACACAGAATTGAGCTGTGCTGCCTCTCTCCGCCCCCGTTCAAATGTTTCCAGTGTAAGTCTGCAGCAATTGTGGTTAATAAACAAAACCAGGATATTTAGCCCAGATACCCAGGAATTTCCCTGAAAGTTTTGCCTAAACAAACCTCACTGCTGCTTACTCTCACAATGAGATCACAAATTTCACAATATTTGGCTTCTTTCCTAAACTTTCAACTCCTGGAGTCTAGCTATATAAAAGGGTGTCAACTTTTATTTGAAGGGGAAATTCAAAAGTGTGTCTCACTGTTTGGAGAAACAAAAAGCTTGAAATCCTCTACATTCTTAAACCCCACTTCCGACTATAAATCAAATTTGAATGTTATTGAATGTCCTTTAACAACCACATCTTTCTTAATCCAGACTCATGCCTTTGAGATCCGACATGTGACTTCTGATTTTAACTGTGACAGTGCTAGAAACAGCCCCAACCTTTGGAGCTTTGTAGGTGGTAACACAAAGAGTAATCACATAGTTTCCATTTTTAGTAATTGTTGCATGGAACAAGGAAAAAGAATAAATTAAGAAAGGGCAGAAGTGTAAGAAATGCATCCTGCATCTTCTGTCACATGCGCTGAACCGGATGAAACAGAAAACACAGCTGACTCAAGGAGAGGCCAAGAATTTAAATGAGCAATAAGCACAAAGCAGGTCCATAGCAGAACCAGGAGTTCAATGAAGTTTGGGTAAATTTTCTTGTTCTTCTATAATTAATATCAGCAGAATAACAAAAGCACAGATATCCCACCTGATGCTGGGTATTATTATTATTCATTTTTCTGCATCCCTGCACCACCAAGATGCAGGAGTAAGACTGCCCCAAAAAGCTCATTCCTGATTGACTTCCACTGGGGTAAAATGCAGGAAGCAAAGACTCCAGTGAAAATGCAGTGCAAAGTCTGCTCTGCTGGGATTCCTAACCCGGTATTACATTCCGAAGGACAAAAAACCCTAGGGGTTCAGATCATCTGAGTTGAAACTGGAATGGGTTTCCACAACTCAAATATTCCAGCACGAAGCCAGCACAGGTTTGCTCGCACAGATCCCCAGCCGAACTGGGCTGATAAGAACAGAATTAAACGAAGCCTCTCCCATAGTTAGCTGTTTCCCCAGCACCCCCTGAATTCCTCTCCCCTGCACGCAGACAGGCAGCTCACAGAAGCATCTTTGTTCAGCAGTATCACAAGGGTGGTTCTGCGATGGACGTCAGCCTCGCAGCGACACAAGCAGCTCTAAAAGGGACAGTGACTGGGGGCAAACGTGGAGACAGTTTTAGCGTAATAAAGTTTTCTACACCGCCACGGGTGCCCCTGTGCTCTGGAGCAGGGAAGCTAATGTTTCCCCATTAAGCATAAGGGAAAGCCAATGCCTCTCACAAAAACATGTATCCCGTGTCATGCTTTTACACGGTCTTAGAGTAAGCGGGATTACAGCATTGTCATTCTTGAATTATCTTGAAACATTTCCTCACTCCCACCACTCCCCACTAAGAAAACAGCCCAGATTACGTAGCCGCTGTTTTAAGCGGCGGCGTCATTCCAGATCCCAGTGTAAGCTACCAAGTCACGTTACCCGGTATCACCTCGCTTCCCTATCCTTCGCACGACACAAATGTAACCGGTAACTTATTAGAGCTATTAGTAAGTCAATCAGTAAAGTGGAAGAGACTAAGATTTCTGCGGGAAAGCAAAGCTTTTCCACCACAGCCGGTTCCATAGCCCGGGCTTTAAATGGCCAGCACAAGCAGCTGAAATGCAGGGCCAGCTGGGACGGGACTGGTCGCAGCACAGTTAGGGATCTGGTTTCTCCAGTGCCTGCTCTGCGGCAGGACCCAGAGCGGACGAGCACCGCTGAGCTGCAGTGTTAACACTCAGGGTAGCGATGGGCACAGGGGGGTATCAAGGCTTGGCAGCAAACAACAACTGGGCTGGCAGAAACACTAGTGAGCCACAATGCTTCATAAAAGCAAGTGTGGCATCAGGTACTGAAAAAGGTTCTCCATGCCCAGTTTGGAGATCACAGGAAAGTCAGTAAAGCAAATCCCAATAAAATAATTTAAAAAAACCCCACAAAACACAGAGGCTAGAGAAAAAAGGAGGAAATCAGCCTGGTTGGCAAGCCTGTGTCCGCTCCAGTAGCCAGGATGCAGGCAGGTTCCCTTCGGTCTGTGCTCCTTTCAAAATGAGGGAAAGTACAGCAGTTACCTAGGGCAGATGACACCGCACCTTTGACAAGAGCCTTGTACCCGTACAGTTAATCCTCAGTGGAGTAAGAAATGGGCTATTAGGCCTTTGGACTGAAAAAAATGAGTATATACACTGAGTGTGTACTTCAATTTGTATCAATAAGGTGGAATTGACTATTTTAACTTACCCCAAATTAGCTTTCCTGGTTGTGCTAGTACAGACAAGGCTTAACTGGGGAATTCCCTTTCCCTA